TAGAATGGCATTAAACATATATGTATCTATTTAAAATGCTTAGTAGTAAGTTTAACAAGGTATGTACAAGAGTTCTATGCTGAAAACTACAACACATTGCTGAAATGAACTAAGAATTACCTATGTAAATTAATGGATGGGAAGACTAAGTTTTTCTTTTTGGGGGGGGAGGAAGGCAGGAAGGGAGGGAAGAAGGACGGTAGGGAGGAAGGAAGGGATGAAGGAAGGAAGGAAAGAAGGGAGGAAGCGGGGAGGGAGGGAGGGAGGGAGGAAGGGAAGGGAAGGAAGGAAATCAAGCAATGAGAGAGACATTACCGACCTGGATCTAGAGGTTTACAAGTTGATTTCTTTTTTTTGAGAGAAGGAAAGAAAAAAAAAATAAGTAAAGGAGAGGAAGAAAGAGGAAGAGAAAGAGGGAGAGTAAATGGAAATATTGCTTTATTTCGAAAAAAAAATGAGTATTAATAATGGCCAATCAATGTTTCATTTAAACTTATGGGTAGGTGTGATGTGGTATTGACAAGAATGTATATTTTGTGTATTTGAAGTGGAGAGCTCTATGAATATTTATTAAGTTTACTTGTTCTGGATCTGAGTTCGAGTCCTTGATATCCTTATTAATTTTCTGTCTCATTGAATCTAAGTCTCGTATCTGGGTGTTAGGATCGTTAGCTCTTGTTGTTGCATTGATCCTTTTACCACTATATCTCTGTTGCTTTAAAATCTATTTTCTCCGATACGAGAATTGCAACTCCTGCTTTTTATTTATTTATTTTTTATTTTTGCTCTCCATTTGGTTGGTAAATCTTTCTCCATCCCTTTGTTTTGAGTCTTTGTGTATCCTTGCATGTGAAACAGGTCTGGATGTAACATGCCATTGGGTTTTGGCTGTGTCTTTTGATTGGGGGATTTAGTCAATTTAAATTTAGGGTTACTGCCACTTGATGTTGACTGGCTGTTTTTCCATTCATTGGTGTAAATTCTTCTTTATGTTGGTGCTCTTTACTTTTTGGTGTATTTTTAGAAAGGCTAATACTGGTTGTTTCTTTCTGTGTGTAATGCTTCTTTCAGAAGCTCTTGTAAAGCAGGCCTGGTGGTAATAAAATCTCTGAGTTCTTGCTTGTTCATAAAGATTTTATTTTTCCTTCAGTTGTGAAGCTTAGTTTGGCTGGATATGAAATTCTGGGCTGAAGGTTCTGTTCTTTGAGAATGTTGAATATTGGCCCCCACTCTCTTCTGGCTTGTAGAGTTTCTGCTGAGAGATCTGCTGTAAGTCTGATAAGCTTGCCTTTGTGGGTAACATGACCTTTCTCTCTGGCTGCCCTTAGTATTTTCTCCTTCGTTTCAACCCTGGTGAATCTAACGATTACGTGCCTTGGGGTTGCTCTTCTTGAGGAATATCTTTGTGGTGTTCTCTGTATTTCCTGGGGTTGAATTTTGACCTGCTTTGCTAGTTTAGGAAAATTTTCCTGAATAATATCCTGAAGGGTATTTTCCAGCTTGTATTCATTCTCTCCGTCGCATTCAGGTACACCTATCAAACGTAAATTTGGTCTTTTCACATAGTCCCACATTTCTTGGAGACTTCGCTCATTCCTTTTTATCCTTTTTTCTCTAATCTTTTTTTCACGTTTTATTTCATTAAGTTGGACTTTGACCTCTGATATCCCTTCTTCTGCTTGAACAATTCGAGTGTTTAAACCTGTGCATACTTCTCGGAGTTCCTGTATTGTATTCTTTAGTTCCATTAATTCACTCATACTCCTCTCTAAGTTGTCTATTCTCAATAGGATTTCATCAAACCTTTTTTCAAAGTTCCTAGTTTCTTTACGTTGGGCTACAACATGGTCTTTTAACTCACCGAAGTTTGTTATTATCCATTCCTTGAAGAGTGATTCTGTCATCAGGAGGCGATCGTTCTCCATCAAGCCTTGTTCCATTGTTGATGTGGAACTGTGATCATCTTTAGAGAGGGAGGCGTTCTGACTTTGAGTATTCTCAGCTTTTTTACGCTGGTTTCTTCCCATCATTGTAAATTTATCCTCCTGTCTCTTTGAAATTACCAACTTTCAGATTAGGTCTCTTGAGTGGGCGTCCAGGTTGTTAGTTCCCGGGGCCAGAGCAGCGGCGTTAAAACTGATGGTGCTTTTCTGCCCAGGATTCTCCTGTCGGGCTTCCTTCTTGTGTCCGTAGTAGGCGACTCTGCCTTCCCGGGGCTCCAAACCTCGGTCAGAAGGGGAACCGGTCCCGTTTACTCTGCGCCGAGCGCTGCCGCACCGAGGTGCCGTCACAGCCGCTGCCGGGCTCTGGTGTCCTGCTGGGGACCCACGCGGGTCCTCCGAACCTGTTTACTTTGCTCGGAGAGCTGCCGCGCCGAGGTGCCAGCGGAACCGCTGCACCAGCCACGAGAGTTGCGCTGGCCACCCGTGTGTTTCCTCCACTGGGGGATCTCCTGCTCCGTGAGCGACCAGAATTTGTCTGAAAGTGTGGCGTCCTCTAGTTCTCTGCGCCTTCACTGAGAGCTGCAATCCCGGGATGTTAGCGATCGGCCATCTTGGATCGACCGGGAAGACTAAGTTTTACTAAAATGTCACTTCTCTGAAATAGATCCATGGCTCTAAAGTATAATTCAAAGTAAATTCCATTGACTTTTTTTTAGTAGAAATTATCCATCTAGGCTGGGTGCAGTGGCTCACACCTGTAATCCTAGCACTTTGGGAGGCTAAGGCGGGTGGATCACGAGGTCAAGAGATCGAGACCATCCCGGTCAACACGGTGAAACCCCGTCTCTACTAAAAATACAAAAAATTAGCTGGGCATGGTGGCACGTGCCTGTAATCCCAGCTACTCAGGAGGCTGAGGCAGGAGAATTACCTGAACCCAGGAGGCGGGGGTTGCGGTGAGCCGAGATCGTGCCATTGCACTCCAGCCTGGGTAACAAGAGCAAAACTCTGTCTCAAAAAAAAAAAAAAAAAAAAAAAAAAAAAGGAATTATCCATCTATTAAATAGTTCTAAAATTTTCATAGAAATACTCATTTATATGGATAACCAAATACTTTCAAAAAAGCTACAGCAACCAAGAGGATCTGTTACTTGCTTAAGGACAGAGAAATAGATCAATGAGTCAGAAGAGTAAATTTAACAATATGGTCAAGTAATTTTTTAAAAGAAGTGCCAAGTTAATTTAGTAGGTAAGGATTATATTCTCAAACAACTCTGAAAAAAGAACAATAAGTAAGCCTCAAACTACTTTTCACACCATACACACATGAGATAACATATATCCCAGCCCTAAACATGAGAAAGTATAAAATCTTGAGGAAAAAGTAGGAGTACAACATTATGATACCAAAGGAGATAAAGTTTTCATAGAGAGAAAACCAAAATGAAAGGCATTAAAGAAAAATAAGAGATAGTATTGACTTCATCCAATCAAAAAAATGATTTTCAAATGAGTTAACTTGTTCATTGATCCTTTTCTGCTTGGAAAAGGTCTTTTAATTTCCTTCCTTTGAGAATGTCTTTTCTCTTCTTTCCTAAAATGTATTTTTGACAGACAGAAGGTTTGGAGTGACAGTCATTTTCATTTAGAACTTGAAAATTGTTGTGCCACTTCCTTCTGGCCCCCATGGTTTCTAATGAGAATTCCACCGATTTTCAAATTGTTTTTCTCTACAGATAAGGTGTTGTTTCTCACCAATGGCTTTCAAAACTTTTTCTTTCTGATTTAGTTTTCTGAAATTTGACTAGGATGTATCTTGTTTTCTATTTTCTTAGTTTTATCCCATTTGAGACACATTCAGCTTCCTAAATATGCCTACTTAAGTCCTTTGCCAAATTTTGAAAGTCTTCAGCCACAATTCTTTTTTTTTTTTTTTTTTTTTTGAGATGGAGTTTCGCTCTTGTTACCCAGGCTGGAGTGCAATGGCATGATCTTGGCTCACTGCAACCTCCGCCCCCTGGGTTCAGGCAATTCTCCTGCCTCAGCCTCCCGAGTAGCTGGGATTACAGGCACGCACCACCATGCCCAGCTAATTTTTGTATTTTTAGTACAGACGGGGTTTCACCATGTTGACCAGGATGGTCTCGATCTCTTGACCTCGTGATCCACCCGTCTCGGCCTCCCAAAGTGCTGGGATTACAGGCGTGAGCCACCGCACCCGGCCCCACAATTCTTTTGAATAGTTTTCTAGCCCTGTCAGCATCTCCCGTCTTTCTGAGACATCTATGATGTAAAGATTGTATCTTTCCTCACAGTGCCACAGATCCTTAGGGCTCTATTCATCCGCTTACTTATTTTTCTGGTCTATTTCCTCTCTGTTGTTAAAATTGAATAATTTCTATTGTTCTTTCTTCAGAATCACTGATTATTTTCTCTATTTCCTCCATTTTCTTTCATTGAACACATTCGGTGAACTTTGCTGTACAACTTTGAATTCTCTTATTAGATATAAGAACTATGGGGTAGTTGCTAGAAGATTTTCTATGTACAGACTCTTGCTGCCTTTGAGTAGGTACAGAATTAGTTCTTCCTTTCTTACTCATATAGTTTCTTTCTTCCTTTTTCTAAACTTATTGTATCAGTGAGAATACCCAGTATAATGTTGAGTAGAAATGGTAAAAGTAAACATCCTTGTCTTACTCTTGAAATTATAAAGAAAGATTTCAGATTTTATCATTAAGTATGACTTTAGCTCTAGGTATGTCTTAGGTGTCTTTTATCAGCTGGAGGAATTTACTTTTCATTCTGAATTTGATCATTTTTATCATGTGTGGATGCTGAATTTTGTCAAATAATTTACATACATCTTTTAAAGATATTATACAGGCTGGGCACAGTGTCTCACACCTGTAATCCCAGCCCTTTGGGAGGCCGAGGCAGGCGGATCACTTGAGCCCAGGGTGGGTTTGAGACCTGGCCAACAGCCCGGGATTTCAGCCTGGTGAAACCTTGCCTCTACTAAAATTAGAAAAATCAGCCGAGCATGGTGGTACATACCTGTAATCCCAGCTACTTGGAAGGCTAAGGCAGGGGGATCACTTGAACTCAGGAGGTGAAGGCTGCAGTGAACCAAGATCGCACCACTGCACTCCAACCGGGTGAAAGCACAAGACTCTAAAAAAAAAAAAAATTATTTTTTTGTCATGTCTCTGCCAGGTTTTGGTATAATTTCATGACAATATCTCTAATGAATATCGATGTGAAAATCCTCAATAAAATCCTGGCAAACTGAATCCAGCAGCACATAAAAAAGCTTATCCACTATGATCAAATCACCTTTATCCCTGGGATGCAAGGCTGGTTCAACATACACAAATCAATAAACATAATCATCACATAAACAGAACCAAAGACAAAAACCACATGATTATCTCAATAGATATGGAGAAGTCCTTCAACAAAATTCAACAGCCCTTAATGCTAAAAACTCTCAATAAATTAGGTATTGATGGAACATCTCTCAAAATAAGAGCTATTTATGAAACCCCACAGCCAGTATCATACTGAATGGGCAAAAACTGGAAGCATTACTTTTGAAAACCAGCACAAGACAAGAATGCCCTCTCTTACCACTCCTATTCAATATGGTATTGGAAGTTCTGGCCAGAGCATTCGGGCAAGAGAAAGAAATAAATGGCATTCAGATAGGAAAATAGGAAGTCAAATTGTCTCTATTTGCAGATGACATGATTGTATATATGGAAGACCCCATGATCTCAGCCCAAAAATCTCCTTAAGCTGATAAGCAACTTCATCAAAGTCTCAAGAAATAAAATCAATGTACTAAAGTCACAAGCATTCCTATACAACATTAACAGACAAACAGAGAGTCAAATAATGAGTGAACTCCCATTCACAATTGCTATGAAGAGAATTAAATATCTAGGAATACAACTTACAAGAGATGTGAAGAACCTCTTCAAGGAGAACTACAAACAACTGCTCAAGGAAATAAGAGAGGACACAAACAGATGGAAAAACATTCCATGCTCATGGTTAAGAAGAATCAATATCGTAAAAATGGCCATACTGCCCAAAGTAATTTATAGATTCAATGCTATCCACATCAAGATACCAGTGACTTTCTTCACAGAATTGGAAAAAACTACTTTAAATTTCACATGGAACCAAAACCGAACCCTCATAGCCAAACAATCCTAAGCAAAAAGAACAAAGCTGGAGGCATCACACTATCTGACTTCAAACTATACTACAAGGCTACAGTAATGAAAAGAGTATGGTACTGGTACCAAAACAGATATATAGACCAATGGAACAGAACAGAGGCTTCACAAATAATGCCACACATCTACAACCATCAGATCATTGACAAATCTGACAAAAGCAAGAAATGGGGATAGGATTTCTTACAAATAAATAGTGCTGCCTAGCCATATGCAGAAACTGGAACCCAGATCCCTTCCTTACACATTATACAAAAATTAACTCAAGAAGGATTAAAGACTTAAATATATAACCTAAAACCATAAATACCCTAGAAAAAAACCTAGGCAATACCATTCAGGACATAGGCTTAGGCAAAGACTTCATGACTAAAACACCAAAAGCAATGGCAACAAAAGCCAAAATTGACAAATGGGATCTAATTAAACTAAAGAGCTTCTGCACAGCAAAAGGCAACCTGCAGTATGGCAGAAAATTTTTGCAATCTTTCCATCTGACAAAGGGCTAATATCCAGAATCTACAAAGAACTTAAACAAATTTATAATAAATAAAACAAACAACCCTGTGAAAAAGTGGGCAAAGGATATAGACAGACACTTCTCAAAAGAAGACATTTTTACAGCCAACAAGCATATGAAAAAAAACTCATCATCACTGGTCATTAGATAAATGTAAATCAAAACCACAATGAGATACCAAATCACACCAGTTAGAATGGCTAGCATGAAAAAGTCAGGAGGCAAGAGATGCTGGAGAGGATGTGGAGAAATAGGAATGCTTTTACACTGTTGGTGGGAGTGTAAATTAGTTCAACCATTGTAGAAGGCAGTGTTGTGATTCCTCAAGGATCTAGAACTCGAAATACCATTTGACCCAGCAATCCCACTACTGGTGATATACTCTAAGGAGTATAAATCATTCTATTATAAAGATGCATGCTCTTGTATGTTTATTGAGGCACTGTTCACAATAGCAAAGACTTGGAACCAACCCAAATGCCCATCAATGATAGACTGGATAAAGAAAATGTGGCACATAGACACGATGGAGTAGTATGCAGCAATAAAAATGATGGGTTCATGCCCTTTGCAGGGATATGGATGAAACTGGTAGCCATCATTCTCAGCAAACTAACACAAGAACAGAAAACTAAACACTACATGTTCTCACTCATAAGTGGGTGTTGAACAATGAGAACACATGGACACAGGGAGGGGAAAATCACACACCGGGGCCTGTCGGGGGTGGGGGCCTAAGGGAGGGATAGCATTAGGAAAAATACCTAATGTAGATGATGGGGTGATAGATGCAGCAAACCACCATGGCACGTGTGTACCTATGTAACAATCCTGCAGGTTCTGCACATGTACCCCAGAACTTAAAGTACAATAAGAAAGAGAATGAATGTAGGAAAGAAAAAAAGATAAAGATATGATAGCGTTTTCCCTTTATTCTCTAAATATCATGAATCATACTGATTTTTTAAGCATTACACCTATCTTGCATAATTTTCACTGGTTCATGATTTAGTATCTTTTTAATATATGGATAGATTTAATATGCTAATACTTTGCTGAAATTTTTATATTCATGGTTATGAAGAAATTAGTCTTAATTTTTAAATAATGTCTTTATTTAATTTTATCAGATTAATTCTAGTATAAAAATGAGTTGGAAAAGCTCTCTTTATAATAAGTGTTTGTATAGGATTGATAAACTATATTTCTTAAATTTTATAAAATTCACCAGTGAAGCTATCTCAGTTGGGATTTTTTTTATGTTAGTGAGAAGGTTTATAACAAAATATCTTTTTAAATGATTTATAATTTGGGAGGCCGAGGTGGGTGGATCATGAGGTCAACAGATCGAGACTATCCTGGTCAACATGGTGAAACCCCGTCTCTACTAAAAATTACAAAAAATTAGCTGGGCACGGTGGTGCGTGCCTGTAATCCCACCTACTCGGGAGGCTGAGGCAGGAGAATTGCCTGAACCCAGGGGGCAGAGGTTGCGGTGAGCCGAGATCGCGCCATTGCACTCCAGCCTGGGTAACAAGAGTGAAACTCCGTCTCAAAAAAATAAAAATCATGGATTTATAACTAAGCAAATCATAAAAAGAAGATACAAATTATCAATTTTATAAGTTAAAGATTACATATTACCAAACATCCTTAACACATTAAAAGAATAACATAGGAATATTTTGAAAACCTGAATGCCAATAAATTTGACAGGTAAATTCATCAATTTAGGTGAATTCATCAATAAAACAAGCAAATTCATCAATTTAGGTGAATTCATCAATAAAATAGGCAAATTCATCAATTTAGGTGAATTCATCAATAAAACAGGCAAATTCATCAATTTAGTAGCATCACTAGAGGAATGGGTCATATAACAAGTCTAGTGGGTTATCATCTATCTAAGCAGAAGACAATGCCAATTTTCCTTTTATAGATACTATCTAACTTTACTCTTTTTTTAGGGCATTCCTTCAGAAATGAAGGCAGCTCACTGGTCTTTCTCGCAGAGAAATTATTAAACAGAATAGCCTCAATTTATACACATCAACTCCCTAGAAAGGGCACTTCTTACTCGTTCCCACTCTCAGCCTAATGCCTCTTCTGACATGGTACTTTAAATCATACTCAATTATTAAATACTAGATGCTTTCTTCATAATTTTAGGAATAAGACAAGATGTCCATTTTTACCATGTCTACTCAACATTATACTGGAGATTCTAGCTGGCACAATAAGGTTAGAAAAAGGAAAAAGAATCTATATGGATAAGAAAGGCAGAGCTAATGCTGTACTTATTCAAAAACAGCATAACTCTGTGCACAGAAAACCTTATAGGAACTACCCAATAGTTCTTAAATATAATAAGTGTAGAACACAGTTTGCCAATGTATTCAATGGAAAAATGCAGGAAATAGAGAAAAGAATCAGTGCAGTTGAAGAAAGAACAGAAATTACTCAATTTTAATAGCAGAGAGGAAGTAGACCAGATAAATAAGCAAATGAGTAAATAGAGACTTAAGGATCTGTGGCACTATGAAGAAAGATATAATCTTTACACCATAAAAGTCTCAAAAAGAGAGGAGAACGCTGGCAGGGCCAGAAAACTATTTAAAGAAATAGTGGCTGATGACCTCCAAAATTTGGCAAAAGACTTAAGCATACATATTTAGGAAGCAGAATGAGTCTCGAACGGGATATAACTGAGAAAATGGAAAACGAGACATATCCTGGTCAAACTTCAGAAAACTAAATCACAAAGAAAAAGTTTTGAAAGTGGTTGAAGAGAAACAACACTTTACCCGTGAGGGAAAAGCAATTTGAAAATCAGTGGAAATGCTCCCCTCCCTGTGTCCATGCGTTCTCATTGTTCATTGCCCGCCTATGAGTGAGAACATGTGGTATTTCATTTTCTGTTCTTGTGTCAGTTTGCTGAGAATGGGGTCTATTGGGGGCAATATGGGAGGGACAGCGGGGAGGGAGTTGGGGAGAGATAGCATGGGTAGAAATGCCAGATATGGGTGAAGGGGAGGAAGGCAGCAAATCACACTGTCACATGTGTACCTATGCAACTATCTTGCATGTTCTGCACATGTACCCCAAAACCTAAAATGCAATAAAAAAAAATAACTTACAAAAAAATAAAATAATTTTTTTTCAGCTTTACAAGGAAATGACAGTTTTCAAGAAATGAATATTTGTGATATTTTTATGGGGCTAACATTGCTAGTTCAAATATCTTGAATTTTAGAATCTAATATGTCTTCCAGACCATCACTCATTATCATTACCATGTTCCTTATTGCTTGCCTACATACAATTCTTACAGAGATGTAAGAATTGGTTTCATATAGAAAAAAGAAAAAAAGAAAAAGAAAATCAGTGGAATTATCAGACATCATAGGGCC